AGGTTCAGGGTTCAAGCCCGGGCCTATCCAGTGCCTTTCTGTGTGGAGTCAGCATGTTCTCCCTGTGCCTGCGTGGGTTCTCTCTGGGTGCTCTGGCTTCCTCCCACAGTCCAAAGACATGCAGCTCAGGTTGACTGGAAACTCTAATTTGCCTGTAGGAGTGTGACATCGTGCCCAATGTCAGCTGGGATAGGTTCCATAACATAGTTTTCATATTGGTAATTTTAATTTCTTCATGCATTTTTCAAGACCGTATTTCTTATCCTGCAAAGATGGATGCTGCTAGGCACACAGTGTGTTCACCCCTACCTCTACCCATAATAGAAATTGTTTATACATTGGGTTTAGATCAGTGCAGGGGATAGTATTCATTTATTTATTGTCTCAGTCACAGCATGTTTTGCATGATTTCTGAACTGATTGTTAACAGGCCTTAATAAACCCAGGTCTATATTTTCTGGATAGTATACCGACTGAATAATTGTTACGGTTTGGGGCTACTTCCTCCACTCCAGTTCCTGTGCCTTGGTGGGTCAACAGTGAGGCCACCGCTCATGTCCTGGGTCCTGGTGGGTCAAGAGAAATGCCACCTCAGCTTCTGTGTTCCGGCGGTTTACCTACAACACGAGTTTCAGTCCTTTGGTGGCCAACAATGTGCAATTATTACAACTGACCAGAGACAAGGACCTCTGAATGAAAATAGCAGGCAGTTTACCCACATATACAACAAACAAAACAACACATAAACATTAACAAAATACACATTCACACTGTGGTCAAGAATATTATGCTTAATACACCCCTTTGTCCCTTTTTCTTTCCTGTCAAGATTTTCTGTTGAAATTCAATTTTGTCAACTTGGTGTTTTTTTGCTCCAAGCAGTCAACTAGGATTCTACTGACTAGAAGATCAATAGTTTATTTTTCTTTCCTTTTAATTTTGGAGTCTGTGCTGCTCTTTAATTTCTGAATTTCTACAACATAGTAATTTTATACAATGGTTTTTAAAAATTAATTTCAAAATTTTTATGTAGTATAAATGTGGTAGGTAGTATTTAGCTCACTTTAATGCATCTGTGTCAGAAAGGGGTAGTGGTGACATGGAGTATGAGAAGCTGGAGAAGAACCAAGGCCTGAAATAGGAACTGGAGAGAATGCGGAAGGTGAAGACCAAAGTGGACCCAGTGGTGATAGGAGCACTCAGACCTGTAGCCCCTACAGGTGGCCCCTACAGATCCCAGAAACAATATCAGCGCTCTCTGTCCAGAAGAGTGCAGTGCTAAGATTCTGGGCAGAACCCTCAAACTCACAGGTCTCTGATAGAGAGGCAGAGGTTACTGAGGACATACACACCGCCTGTAGGGGTGAGAAGGGAATTTTTTTTAAATGTATACATGTACCAGGATGGGCGGACCTGAACATACCAACACTACACACCCTCACACACACAAACCAAATGTAAAACACCACACGTCTCTGCTGTAAATATCCTTTATCTATTGTCTTCTCTTCCATTTTCTGTCCTCTGTCTTGTTAACATGCTATTTTGTGTTGAGGAAAAACACATTTGGCAGGTTTGGTCCAGCCCAGCCCAGAACACATACAATATAACATACAAGTAGAAGCACACGCTATAAAACCACCAATCATCAGGCCAAAAGATGGCAGCAGAGCTCCATTCTAGAACTCAGTGGCTGCTCATCCAAGTTCATTTCTGAGACTCTCTCTGAGTGTAGAATACTACTAGCATATTTTTCAGGATATTTTACTGATACTACAGGAAATACATTAACAGATATTTCAGACATAACTTTGTTTGTATTTACTGCTGCTGTGTTAATATTTTTAGGAAAGCAATATTTCCAGGTATCATTTTGCAACTGACTCTTAAAAATTTCCTGTCTGCCAACTACAGTAGTTTGGTGTTGATCCACTTTGACAGACTGTGGCACAGGATGTCACATTTTCCCTTGACAGTTGCCATTATTTCAACATTTGTTTATCCAGCATGCAACTACCTCTTGATGAAAGCCAGATCAGTTGGTCTGCATCACGATGATGTTCATTCTGCATTCAAGCACGGGCAGTGTTCATTTTTATCATGGACATCCATGCAAACCCTTCACCTCCTACATCATTAAGTGTCATTTCCACAGCGGCTCACACTGATAGGATGAAAGGAATGCCACAGAGCATTTGAATGGGGCTGTACCATACTGAGCCTTCTTCCCTGCACCTCAGAAGTTGCTTGGGTGTTGGTTGTTGCTTGGCAGAATAAGGAAGAGCACCACAGCATACCAGTTCACTTTCTGGTCAGCAAGTTCAGAGGAAAGGGAATATCTTCCCAAATTTAAAAATAAATATTTCTTACTTTCAGGGGGTAAAGCTGTTTGACCCGATTGCAGGGTTGGCAGTTTGATTCCCGTTCTCTTCCACATGTCGAAGTGTCCTTGGACAAGATACTGGACCCCATGTTGCTTCCGGTGGCCAGGCCAGTGCCTTGCATGGCAGCTCTGCTACCAGTGGTGTTTGAGTGTGTGTGTGAATCTGTAAAGTGCTTTGTCCAGGTATGGTAGAAAAGTGCTATACAAGTGCAGTCCATTTACTATATTCCTGTGTACAAGCATGCTATTGATAATAGCTTTCAGCACATTCAGGCAGTTAAATACCTATGAAATACAGTCATGGCCAAAAATATTGGCACCCCTGCATTCCTGAATGACAAGGGACACTATGGTTGAGCACATCATTCTACTGTTTTCAGAAAATGAAATGAGGCCTTCAAAGAGAAGAACATGGCCCCTACAGTCAACCACGGTGGAGGTTCACTGATGTTTTGGGGTTGCTTTGCTGCTTCAGGCCCTGGATTTCCTGACTGTGTGTGTGGCATTATGACATCTGAAGACAAACTCTGGGGCCCAGTGCCAGAAAGTTGGGTCTCTGTCAGCGATCATGGGTTTTACAGCAGGACAATGACCCAAAGCAGACTTCACAAAGCACCAGAAATGATTTCAGACAATGAGCTGTAGAGTTCTGAAGTGGCCAGCAATGAGTCTAGATCTAAATCCCATAGATCACCTTTGGAGAGTTCTCAGAACAGTAGCTGGGAGAAGGAAGCCTTCAAATCTGAGAGACCTGGAGCAGTTGGCAAAAGAAGAGTGGTCCAGGAAGTGACTGATTTCAGTTATTTTGTCCAAAGGGTGCGCTACCAAATATTAATAGTTAGACTGACCTTGGTGACCTACACCACTAAATGGGAAGGTGTTTCCAAACTTTTGACTGGTAGTGTGCCTCATGTTCCTGACAACAGTAATGTGGCCTTATTTGCAGATAACTCAGCAGTACCTGACATTAGTTTTGCCACTTTAAAACATCTGCCTTGACAGTGAACTTAATTTAGGCTATTACTGGGTAGTTCAGTGCAAATTAGTCACAACTGTGTAAAATGCAGAATGCATCATTTTCCCTATGTACCCCAGGAAGAGTAGTAGTTATATCAATAACATTTATTGGGCATCCAAAAAAACAATACAACACACACAAAAACACACACTTTGCACTAAATAAAAATGTTACCTTTGCAAGGTGTCTCTTAAAGAGCCAGTCCAGTGGTATAGTGCTACACGTCCTTAAAGTTAAATTTGTGGAAACTGAACGGTGGGTCATCCAAGTGGTGAGGAGTCCTTGGCTGCTGGGGATACCGAAGTCCCACCCTTCATCATTAAGGAGGATACTCAATCCACAGGTGCAGCAGCTTATGCATGTGCAACACGCATACTTGAACAGACACATTTACAGACCTTGATACAAAAGGTACATCCTGCTTGGCAAAGCCTATTCACCAGCAATAAGAGGGATCTTTGTTGTGCTGTCACTTCCCCTTAGTTTGCATTCAGCAGTAGAAAGATGCAAATGTGTGTTTGTGTGAGTCACTGACTTTCATGATTGAATTAACTGGCGAGTTAATAAAAGCTTTATACTGTTTAATAGAAGCCTTCCTTTTGCAGTGGCCTCCAGATAGTTAACCTTGTTTGACTTCCAAAAATGAGTTTGATGGATAAAACTGCCTTCAAATGTTTCCTTTACGAAAGGACTTTCAGGGGAGCTGAGAACTTATTATACAAAATCATGTATTTAAAACAAAGGAACAAAAAGAATGAGATACAGTCATGGCCAAAAATACTGGCATCCCTGCATTTCTGTCACATAACACAGCACTTCTCCCAGAAAATCTTTGCAATCACAGAGTCTTTGGTATTTTCATGTTTATTTTGTTTGTTTGCATTTGAACAACACAAAAAAGCAGAGAGAGAAAAAAGCCAAATCTGATCCATTCTACACAGAACTCGAAAAATGGCCTGGACATAATTACTGACACCCTCAACTTAAATAGTATCCCCAGATAATTTTCCTGCAGTATTCCATATTCAAGTGTTCTCATTTTATATTTGTTCAGATAAATAGCTTCTATGCCACCTTACCACTTATGGTTTGGTCATGTGCAATAGTCAATTACCTCAAATGATGAACTAAAATCTAATGAGATAACTCCCTTAAGGCCATTAAGGCTGTACATGTAGAATGGCCTTTTGCATATTGGAATTAAAAGTAAAAAAAAGTCAGATCAACTTAAAAACTACAAAACCTATATTTTCAAACATGAGTTCAAGAATTCTCTCTATATACTCTTAACAGGAGGTTACTTTATTAGTTGAAACTAGGAGCGTTTGCCCTGAGATGTCAGCATACATTCCTGTTCGATCTGTGCCACGATCACTTTTCCCGTCACTACCATGACCTCGAGGATGTCCAGAGTTCACATCAGCCACCTGCACCACCCTCACACCCCGTCCTGTTCGAGGTTCATTGGCCTACCCTTAATAAAGATGCTTAACATCTGTTTAGTCCAGTTGTCTGTTGCCAACCACAATAGTTATACACTTCTAATGATCTGTTCTTAACATGTTTCTCTTTTGATAGATAAATATGGAGTCAAAGAAAGACGTGCGGAAACTTGCACTTTATTAGAAAAAACAAAAAACTGTGTGTGTGTGTATGTAATCCTTAGAGACAATACAACAAATATGCTCAGTTAATGGATTAAGGGTCACTTTCATGTTCCAGCCATCTTTCATCCTTACACCCATTTCTGTGACTGGCAGGATCAGTTTTATATACACAAAGCACCGATCAACAGTGCTCCATTCTCCTGCACAACTGGAGCCCACCCCTTGGTTACCAGTCAGACTTGAACCTACACGTGATATCTCCCCATGCCCCCACATTGTCCTCAACACTCCAGTGCTTGCCTATGGAAAAATGATCAAAGCATGAAAGTGACCCTACACATTCAAGTTGGAAAGGGGCAGCCAGAAGCTTTGTTACATGTAAGAATAAATGGCATGCCAAAAGCGTCAAAAAGCATAAATGCATATTTTGTTCCAATGCAATGCTGCCTCAATATAAAATGTAGTGCTTTTGCTGAAGTGGAAAATGTTCCCCTGCCAAATTCATAGAAATTGCCCCCACAGATTTGGTGTTAATGAATTATGTTGATATACATCCTCAGTGTGACCCCTTGAGCCTCAGATGACTGTACACAGTATCATGCGAGTACAGAGAATATTCAGTGCCCCATACATCAAAATGTGTCATCTCTTTTCAACTTTATATTAACTTCATCTCAATCACTCAAAATCCAATTCTACCATCAACCATACCTATGTAAAAACCTGAAGACCTTCCACTTGGAGGTCAGTGACTAAATACATTTCCTTTTTTTAACAATGTTGTCCTTTGTAGGTAATCATAAATAAATACAAACAATACACAAGGAATGTCTACTGAGAACAAAAAGTCTGTGGTATAAACAGGAGTTTGCACCAATTTTCCTAATATGAGGATTCTTGAAGAAGATAATCATGATTGATAATCAAAAGGTGACTCTCCCAGCCTCGCCTGGATATAAAAAAACAAAAAAGACAACTCGAACAGTATGCATTTCTCATAACCCACGATACAGTAGAGGCCGGTCCCTGTCCACATGGTTCTGAATGGCAGCGCACACTGTTCTCCTTCTATGACTTTGACATGTCTAGATGGGCACAATGTCCGCTGTGATGCCTCTGTGAGATGGCCAAAGCTGCTACGAGTCACTGTGATTTTATTCAGTCTTATTTGGGCTTTTCATTCTCAGAGAGGTGAGTTCATTAGAAGCAAACTGCAGGTTTGCTTGTGTAAGTTGACTTTGTTGTGAATTGTCTTCAGATTGGAAAGTCTCCTCCATCTCAGGTTACATAAACTGCATCTGAGAAGATAAAGAAACTGTCAATTTTTTATGGAACATGGAAAATAGTTGTAGATACAGTAATGCAAGACCAGCATCCATCCATGTTCAATGTACGTAAACACAAGAGTTAAAATGCTCCAGAAAGGCAAAGTTCTCATGATTTCTGAAGCTTGTATTGCAGAATAACAGCTGAACAAAGCTGCAGTCTCTTGCAAAGAAATGTTGACCAAAGCAATCCATATTCAATAGGAGAAGAGACGTGTGCAAAGCAGCAAGCTGGGAAGGCAAGTGTAGCCGCATTTCACAGGACGGTGCTGTGACTGGCTCCAAAAGAAAATCAGCCATATAACAGCCAGTTTGCTCCAAACAAGGCAGGACTAAACATGCAGTCTGTCGACACAGCACTTAAACACAGAAGACGAGCATTACCTAAAGATGTTCTATAAGAAATTCTGCAGAAAGAGCTGTGCAAAGGGGTCCTTCCCTGGTGGTCTTAGGGGGCTGAGACAAAAGGGACTAGAAGGTGTGGGTGACTGAGTCTCAAAGGGGAACAGAGGAGGGGATGAAAGCAGAACAGCAGAAAAATGGAGAGCCAATGATAAGAACAGCTGTACTACAGGTAGCAGAGTGCAGAATAAAACCTATACATCAGGGTTTTTCAGTAGGGCTGTGCGATTTGGGAAAATAATCTAATGGCTTTTTTTTTTGCAACTTAAAGTGCAGTTCTGTTTTATTCACTGCAAACAAACTTCACTATGAATGACAGAGGATGAACCCAACATCCTCATACATGCACTGGTGGTGCTGAGAACGGGTTTACTGCTGTTCAGTTTGCTTTGTACTCAACTGTACTTCTAGTTTTCACTTTCATTTTTGGCTGTAGGCTAGAGAGTGTGAGACAGAATTCAAACTGGACAGCACAGCAGTAAATACAGAACAGGCATATTTTCTTTTCTTTCTTCATTCATCAAATTCTGCTGATCTGAGCTCATCACAGACTTTGAGTAGTAATTTCTGATGGAACCAGAGAAGAAAACTAAGCTATACCAACATCACCCTGATAAATAAACTCAGACTAGCTTCCTTCTGAGTCCCTTTTATGCTGTAAAACTTGACTGCTGTTTGTACTGGGCTCACTGGAGCTATGGTCCTAAATCCTCTGTTGTCTGCACAGTTATTTCTGTAGATGCATTGAACTATTTTAAGCATTTAATAAAAAAAAAAAAACAACTTTTTTCTCTTCCATACATTTTTAAACTGTGTTATTCAAGTAAAGTGAGTCATCAACAGTCACTGCTTCAGTGTTTAATGATGATAATGGTACAAACAGCCACAGGACAGAACCAGTGCAGTTAGTGGAGGGAGCCCAGGTGAGGAAGGCAACACGCAGTGGGCTCTGCTGCTCTACACGTGTAGAGACGACAGCCTGTCTTTAGCCCTCTGATCTCACAGCTTTTCTAAACTGGTTTAGTTTTACTTAGTATGATGATGACTTTGCCATTGTAGACCATCAATTTAAGCATTATAATTATAAACTCTCATATAGCCAATAAGGAACAAAGAGAGCATTGTATTTATCAAAATGGATGATCCTGTATTAAAAGAGACAGGTGACAACTGTAGTTGTGGGGTTTTAAACGTTGGAATAATTCTGTGGGGTTGCTTCACCGTTGCTACCTTAACCAGGAACAGTCAGTACATTACCTGTTCCAGACGACCAACGTACTGTTTCCCTTTTACATGAATGATTTCTTCAGTGCTGTCAACACTTGCTTGCTTTTGCTTCTGATGTGGCTAGTAGCACCAAAGTGAAGTGCATTGTGTATCTTTATCTTCATCCACTCAGTCATTTACTCTGCAGGTTTTAGGTGAGGCCTGAGGAGCAGGGCACAGTGTGTGCACCTGAAGCCTGCCTGGGGACCCGGCTCGGATAGTTTAAAATTGGTAGCATTTCATTTGAAAATGATTAAATGTTCAAGCCTACTTTTCAGTAACACACATAGCCGTAATGTGGATGTCAAGATTTAGCATATTTGCAGAGAATCGGCAAAAGAAAAAGTGGGATCAATTAATGTTCCTATCCACTGCTGTTACTGCATGTAAATATTACAAAATGAAGCTCAGCCTTTTCCCCATGTAGAGAAAAAGTGGAGCTAATTCTCTAGTCAGTGCAATTAAATCACTGCAGACAACAAGGACACTGAAAGAGCTGCAGTCAAGGCTCTAAAGAGGAAAACCCATGGGAAAACATGATGGAAATATAACATTTGTTGGTTTCAAGAATAAACGTGAGGACAGTCTCGACAACACTCCACACATGTATGATGTTTACATCTGGCACTATTTCTCATCTCTTTAGCGGAGCGAAAGCTTGAGTGACCAATAGCTGCGTACATCATGAGGCGTCTGCTTCCATTACATTTTGTAGATACGCCAAATTCAATTGCGATATTTCCAGATCTTTACACTGCTTTTTTTTTTTTTTAAAGTGTGAACTGAAAACCTGCTTAAAATCAGGTG